TTCTCATCATCTGTTGCTACTACTAACGTATCTGAATCTGGATCAACGGGGATGTTAAAGGTGTTATTATTGTTGGAGAATTTTATGATGATGTCTGTGTTGTTTCCATCAGGGTAGGGCCGCGCCTGCACTATGTCTGCGGCCAGGAGTGAGTTCAGTAGGAAGAACATCAGCTTCAACTTCACGTTAGTCATTGTTCCTTTGTCTAAGCCTTCATGTTAGGTTCAGTTCATTGTGAGTGGGTCGCGACATTCCATTGAGCTCCGCCGCCCGCCCTGAGAACAAAGGTAGCTTTTAATTAATCAAGTTTTAATCGCGCTTTTGAAATAAAGTCAAGATACTCAACAATAGAGATGATAGCACCAGTTACAATTAAATTGAAAAGTTAGATTGGAAGAAAACATTTAATTTCACTCGTATGTNTTATATTAACTATCTGTGGTTTAAGTAAGTAAGTAATTTAAATTAATTACATTTTAAGTTAATTAACTTTAATTAGTCGTCAAATGTGGCTCAACTTTATAGGGTGTCAAAATGTATTCTCATAATAATATTATGTAAGTAAGTTATTTGTAATGTTCTAGTTTTCATCTTTTGGACTTTGCGTCTCGGTAAGCCGAACGGTAGATTTACTTTAAGGATATTCCAGGGAAACCTATAATTAGCCATACTTATTGTTAAGTTACTTTAAGATTTATTCATTGTAACGCCGTTGGTTCCTAAATAAAATAAAAATAAAAAATAAAATAAAAATAAAAATGTAATTAATAAACTCAACTTTGTTATTTTTTTAATTTTTGCTTCTAATATTTGCACGTATAAAATTTTGAACAAATTTTTATTATTTTGGCAAAGACTGAGGAAACCTATTAGATAGAAAGACATAATTAAGCCTTTCACCAGTATCGCAAAAACAACTGGAATTAAGGATAAATTAGGCCACTCATTATTTCTTTGGCTAATATGTTAAAAAAGGGGACAAATAAAGTTTGTTTTATCGCAAAAAACGATAAAGTATTTCTGTAACAGACCAAAATGAACAAGATGAAGGTGCAGACATCATACAAGTACGAGTAGACGAGTGCCTTTAAGTAAATGGAAGGATCTTCAAAGATAACCCTGAATAAAAGGGTTATTATAATAATGCTCATATAAATCATCTATGAACGGTATGAAATTATGATGTAAGTAGATCATCTATCCTGAATAACTCGAATAAATTTCACCTAAGCAGCTTTTAAANCATGTTAACATGGTCATATAAATGGTATGGTGAAGTCAGAAATTTGATATCATCATTTTAATTTTTTTAATTTTCATACAAAATTAATTTTATAAAATCCGATTTGTATGAAAATTAAAATAATTAAAATGCAGATATCAATTTTCTGACTTCACCATACCATTTATATGACCATGTTAACATGGGCTAGTGTCGGCTCATATACCCATTTACCTAACACCCTGTATACTAATATTATAAATGCTATAGTAACTCTGTCTGTCTGTCTTGCTTTCACGCCTAAACCACTGAACCGATTTTGATGAAATTTGGCATAGAGATAGTTTGAGTCCCGGGAAAGGACATAGGATAGTTTTTATACCGGTTTTTGAAACAGGGACGCGCGCGATAGTTTTTCTGTGACAAACAAAATTCCACGCGGGCGAAGCCGCGGGCGGAAAGCTGGTATTAAATAAAGAGCATAGATTTGCTTGTTTGTTTCTATTGAATAGGCTAAAGCCATCCTAGACTGCATCTCACTTAACATCAGGTGCGATTGTGGTCAAATGCCTGCCTTTTTCTGCATAAAAAAATACTGGACCGATTTGAAAAATTATTTCACTTTCAGAATCCTACGTTATTTCTGATGAACATAGGGTACAAAGCTCGCCGGGTTAGCTAGTAAATATGTAATACACAAGTGATGTTACACTAATTGCGTCCTTTGAGACTCGAATTTAGAACTAACTCTATGGCTGAGTTGCACCACCTAACTTTGACTGTAAATTTAACGATAACCGGTGTTTTTGTATGGATTTTGACAGATTTTTGACGTTTGTCAAAGTTAAAGTAAGATGGTGCAACCCAGCCTATGACTACAGACTCTCAGACAGACCTATTTTATTCACTTTATCTCATTTACTGTGTAAATTGGATATGGCCCTCCCAAATGAAATTCAAAATGAATGAAAGGGAAGGCTTTCCTCATTAACGTATGCGAGGTCAAAATAAATTCCTTTATCAGCCAAAATTATAATTCTCAGTAGGAGTGAGGCGCTGGCAAAGCAAACATAATTATCCTGAATGAGTTAGGCCAACAAACAGCGTTTGATAAATATTTAATGGCGATCTTGATCACATAAGCCGGCCAATTAGAACAATTGGTTTGGCGCATTTTATGAACGAAAGGTTATAAAACAGCTATGTTCAAGAAACCAAAATGACTAAAAGTATTTTTAAAAGATATGTAAACCCAACTGGAATAGTAAACCGCCTCAGTAAATTCAACCTTCTTAACTTTCGCATTTATAATATTATATTATAATAATATTTATAAATGCGAAAGTAACTCTGTCTGTCTGTCTGTCTGTCTGTCTCTCTTTCACGCCTAAACCACTGAACCGATTTTGATGAAATTTGGCATAGATATAGTTTGAGTCCCGGGAAAGGATATAGGATAGTTTTTATCCCGGTTTTTGAAACAGGGACGCCGCGGTAACGTTTTTCTGTGACAGACAAAATTCCACGCGGGCGAAGCGGCGGGTGGAAAGCTAGTACTTGAAATAAAAAAGTTACACTAATTAATGTTAGCGTAATAGCCTGCCTCTAGGCCGTACGATTGCTCTTCAATGTAATAAATAACAAATTATACCTTTTAAGAAGTACAAAATGTAAGTCTATTCTTCCTTCCCATATTCCGAATTAATGACTATTTAACATAAAAAAATAATTATTGATCTAAGACTATATTATTATTTTCCCGAGATAATCATGATCTTTATTTATCAAAGAGTAAATTTATTACCTAAGTATCAAAGAAAATAATATGTTTTCTTTTCCAAGCAGCATTTTGCCTAGTTTACAAGGAAGTCTATCCAAATAAATTGAACCCTAAAAAGGCGTTACTAAAACAATTCGAGTCCCAGCACGAACGTCCCGTATCTCGGAAAGGTAATCTCAAACCACCTTACTAAGCAGTGTGCTTACCATGAGTTTACGTTAGGTGTGTGTGTAGTGAGTGTCAAAGAAATGTATGAAGATTTTAGTTCTTGAGAGTAGCCGCTAGAGGCGCTGTACAATCTGTTGGACATTTACGCGCGGTTTTCGCGCGGGCGAAAACCGCCGAGCGGGACCTGATTAAAACCGCGCCCGCTGCGGGCGAAAACCGCTTCGTGAGTTGTGCATTAGTTTTTACATAAGTATCTGCATTCTACAGAAGCTGTGGGCCTGCAACCGCCGCCGGCGCGGGTGAAAATCGCGCCATGAGTTCTTAGCCTTAGGCTGAGTTACACCATTTTACTTTAATCGTAACTATGTATAACAATAACCGGTGTTTTTGTATGCAATTTGACAGATTTCTGACGTTTGTTAAAGTTAAAGTAAGATAGCTCGCTAGTTATCCTACTAAATTAACGTAAACTCATGGTAAGCACACTGATCCGGCCAAGCCGCTATCATCTCTTGATTTGGACCCCTACCATGAAACTCATGGAGGTTGAATACGAATGGCGACCCTAGCGCATAAATTCCAGAGTAGGACCCGCTAATTTGTCAAAAAAAGCCTTTTTCAGAACAAAGTATGACGTGTTAAGGAGGGCTTATGTAGGGATGTAGTATGTTTATATTGATATTTTAGTAAAATATCGAAAAAATAATAGAATCAAGTCAAGTAAGCGTTTTACCCGACTGCGCCAGAGGAGGGATATTAATGCTTTATTCGGGTCGAAAAAGAATTAAAAATCACAAGTTCGAATTTTCTGAGTCAAAGTCTTGAGTATGTATGGTTTTTTAACGAATATATTATGCACATGAAATAAGAACTAAATATAAAACATAATCCTATACAGTCTGATTAACGTATCATTTTTATAGGATTTCGTGGGCATGAGTAACAATTTATAAATAGTAAAGAGTTTTAACCACGTGGTTATGTTTTACCCTATAACTACTATTTACGTGTTATGCAGTATTTCTTCGATATCGACACCATAGATTCCCCGATACATCGTACATCCCTAGTCGTATCGTTGTGATTTGGGTACAGACCCACGACATATAGCGGGTAATGCGGAATTAATCGAGTTTGTCGCAAATGTTTGCGGTGGGCATTGGAGACAATTCGTGTTGGGGAAGGATGTTTTGTTGTATGAGTTATAAAGCAGACACAACCACCTTAATCAATTGATAGCTTAGAACGGTAAGCCACATAATTATATGCTTTACTAGCTTTCCGCCCGCGGCTTCGCCCGCGTGGAATTTTGTCTGTCACAGAAAAACTTTATCGCGCGCGTCCCTGTTTCAAAAACCGGGATAAAAACTATCCTATGTTCTTTCCCGGGACTCAAACTATCTCTATGCCAAATTTCATCAAAATCGGTTGCGAGGTTTAAGCGGGAAAGCGTAACAGACAGACAGACAGACAGAGTTACTTTCGCATTTATAATATTAGTTGGGATTCTAAGTAGACTGAACAGAGCGGCGCTTCTCATTTTTCGAAGCAAGTGACTAGTTCACTTCGCGCTTGCTGGTTGGGACAGTACTGTAGTTCAATCCAAAACTGTGACCTTTGGAGACCGTATAATAGCTCACAGAGGACCTTGACACCATAATTGATATGCCTAATAATATCAAGCTTTACGAAACAATCAATCAGATATGAAGAACTTCTTCCACCTATTTTGCAAGACTATCTGTTCAACGTAACTAAAATATTCATTATCATCTATGACACATGTACTCGAAATAAGCTAAGGTTGATTAGTACCATGTTCATACTCACTTGTATCAGGAGCCAGGTCGTTGTCCACCTCGTGTCCAGTGATGTTGGCCAAATACGCGCTCTTGTTCTCCCCTCCCATCGGCCTGCCCACCTCCACCAGCTCGACATAGTCCACCTTCCTCAACACATCACTGCTGTTCCTCTCATCCTTCACATGAGCGGTCCGGTTCACGTCACTCTCGTTAATCTTCGCAGCGATTAAGAACTCGAAACGAGGCAGATCCTCAACAAACTCCGACTCTGGCCTGAACATCAGATCGGTAATTGAATCTTCGCGATTAGTCTCGGAATTTATCATCTCGTGCAGACTCGGGTTTGATATGTTTCGACGCTTCTCTACTGCTGCGGAATCTTTTTCTACGGCTGCTTTGTATTTCATTTCTGACATGGTTTCATCTCTATCTTGCTCCCCGTTGACAAGGGTTTCCATGTTATCAGCTGCTTCCTTATTAGCTGCGTGCTCAGCTTCTGCGTTCTCATCATCTGTTGCTACTACTAATGTGTCTGAATCTGGATCTACAGGGATGTTAAAGGTGTTATTGTTGTTGGAGAATTTTATGATGATGTCTGTGTTGTTTCCATCAGGGTAGGGCCGCGCCTGCACTATGTCTGCGGCCAGGAGTGAGTTCAGTAGGAAGAACATCAGCTTCAACTTCACGTTAGTCATTGTTCCTTTGTCTAAGCCTTCATGTTAGGTTCAGTTCATTGTGAGTGAGTCGCGACATTCCATTGAGCTCCGCCGCCCGCCCTGAGAACAAAAGTAGCTTTTAATTAATCAAGTTTTAATCGCGCTTTTGAAATAAAGTCAAGATACTCAACAATAGAGATGATAGCACCAGTTACAATGAAATTAAAAAGTTGGATTGGAAGAAAATATTTAATTTCACTCGTATGTAATTAATAAAGTCAACTTTGTTTCTTTGATATATTTGACTCTTACATGCATATTGCTCGCCTAAACTGCTGAACAAATTTTGATGATTCTGGCATAAACTTTGATGAGGCCTAGTAAAGGGACACAATTAAGGCTTTCGCTTCTACTCATTATTTTTTTAGCTATTATGCAATTAGTACTTTAAAAACGTGACAAATAAAGTGTGTTTTATCACAAGAAACGATAAAGTATTTCTGTAACAGACCAAAATGAATAAGATGAAGGTGCAGGCATCATACAAGTACGAGTAGACGAGTACCTTTAAGTAAATGGAGGGATCTTCAAAGATAACCCTGAATAAAAGGGTTATTATAATAATGCTCATATAAATCATCTATGAACGGTATGAAATTATTATATAAGTAGATCATCTATCCTGAATAACTCCAATAAATTCACCTAAGGAGCTTTCACANCTTTTAAAGCGTCGTTACTTTGTTTTGCAAATGGCCGCCATCTACTGAAGGCTAATCTCACATTTACCAGTTTAACCTTCAACTACTTGGGGATTCCCATTTAGATAACTGAAGCATTTAATTTAGTTTAGGCGAAAGGGGCAAAGGGGTTAGGTAGTGCTTTTTAGGCAGGAAATAATTACTGGGACATATTCATCTTTTTTGCGCGCTCTGAGTTTAATTTGGTTGGAAACTAGTTTCTTATTGTTATTACCTATGTACTTAATTTATAAAGGTTAAGTTATATCTAAACACTTTTTTTCCTTTGTTTACGGGGAAATTCTTATTTGACAACAGTGACAAAGTATTTATTAAATAAATACGTTAAAATTCATTTTTATTAACAGTACAAAAGGCTGATTTATTTTTAGTTTTATTACTAGCCAATTGCGAAAGAACAAAAAATAAAATCATCTCTTATGACAAAAGAACAACTAACTGCACAGTAGCAAAACAACAAACACAAATACAACTACTAAGAGGTGATCCGTCTGCTCGTTTGCCTCCTGTCACATAAAAAAAATTGTTTAGTGGGATTCCAACAGCCACATCTGACAGTAGATTGCAAACCAGTCAACCAACCAGGGAAAAAAGAAAAGGATTTGTTGCTGAAATGTTAGAGCCGTTGAATTCGTAACAATGATTCAACATGATTTGTCGCCTGCTAATTATATTACCAACCACGATAAAAAACTCATAAAAAACTAAAATATTTAAAAGAATTCTGATCTGAAGTGGTAAAGGATGTATTCGACGCTTTATCACTCAGGTAGAGTAATGGTTCAATCAACATACTTTTGTCGCCTACTGAGTATATTACCAACCGATATAAAAAAGAAGCTTTAAATATCTAAAAGAGTTGCTAGAATTCTGGCATGTTGCTGAAATGGTAGAGCTGCTGTATTCGGCGCTTTATCACTCAATCTTTACAACGGCCAAACAACCAGGGCAAAAAAATAAGGCCTTAAATATTTAAAAGTGTTGCCAGAATTCTGACATTTTGCTAAAATGGTAGAGGATGTATTCTACGTTTTATCACTCTACACAAAGACAACATGATTTGTCGCTGCTCAGTATTTATGGGCTCCCCGAAGAGGTTGTAAGGCCGGGTGCATATAATGGCGGCATATTTCACCAGGAATCTGGAAACCAGGCAATAAAGATGTGTGGCTTTTATCGCTTAAAACAAATTGGCACTGAGTGCAGAACAATGTGTAACCTCCGCCTTAATTAACTTCGTTTAAATGGTTTTATACGGACGATGGTGTATCTAGCTAACTGATCTTCTTACTCGACTTGGCCAGAAGAAGGGTTATGTTTTTTTACTTACGGGACTATTCCCACCTCTCGTTCCCACCACTGCAACTCCTGTGTAGCCAGGATCTACAGCTTGACCGCCATAAACACCCAACCAATGAAGGTCAAGTTTGTCCCGGGGGAATGTTAACGCAACGAAATTAATCAGAAGAACATAGAAGGAGTTCGAAATTAAGGTTCGACTTCCTCCATTGCAAAGCGGATGACAGGTGACAAACAAAGGTAATAAAACCTTTAGGAAAAGATTATGCACCACGGACAATAAATATCAATCTTATGAGCAAATATAGCAACTACCTGCCAATAATATTTTTCACAAAATCGCTTAAAGCACGGAATTTTTTCCTAAAAATTTTGCTACAAAAATGGATTGACTAATGCTGTAAACATTATAATACTACGTGTACGTGTCGACATCTCGTAGAACTAATAAGCCCCAACCTTTTTTGTCAGAAACAATGTTACTTTCATTTATAATTATACTTTCACACATCGTATCATCAAGATATTAACGAAAAGATCTGCAATTCGGCAATATAATTGAAGATATTTTTTATTACATTTTCTACCACCGAAATCTTTTCACTGTACAAAATATTCAAATTAAACATTCATCAGTCATCTCAAGAAGGCAAAGTACCCTGAAAGTCAGCAAAACGTACACAATTAACATTTTCAATAACAGCTTAACCCCAAACCGCTACGCAATCACTTCTCAAAGAACACATCTTAACCCGTTCGCCGCGATGTCAGATATTGATACGCCCTAACGACCCGTAAGCGATTCTTAACGTCCGATCGCTTATATCGCTCGAATGCGGGACAGAGATGGAAGATTAGACACATCTCCACGTTGGAGAGGCGCGGAGTGATGCCAACGGGTTATCAAGCCTTAATATCACTTTTTGACAAACGACTGAAGATTTGAAAGGTAGGCATGGTCGATATGTGTGGTAATTTAGTTGAAAACTTCGTGTTTGAGGCTGAGTTGCACCACTTTAATCGTAACTAGAATCATAACTGGTGTTTTTGTACGGAGTTTGACAGACTTTTGACGTTTGTTTTAGTTAAAGTAAGATGGTGTAACCCAACTCTAAAGTTGTATAGACAAAACGTGAGTCGACCGTCAAACGACTGTCGCTTGGGCTTCAGAATCTCAAATCAAAATCATAATATTTATTTTGCGAACATCTCGAAATTGTTACACCTAATAGAGGACTTAGCGGTTTAAGAACTTTATTTCTCATAGACTTGTCTTCATAAAATCTACAAAAAATCAATACGACTAGACACCCACGTGCACGTGCACAGTCGTGGACAATTTAAGGACGTCACACATTTATCAATCTGAAAATGGATCGTAACCGTATCAACTCGAGGCGGTCGTATTCTTTGTATGAAACTCCATACTGCAACGCGTACTTATCCGCACTAAGTATAACGTAAACGCCTCGCCTCGCGATTGACAGCGTGCGAAAGGCAATGCCAGCTCGCGAAAGGCGATACGGTGTTGATCGCTTTCCGAATTGATAAGTCTGCTATGAGCTTTATACTCGACATTGGCAAAAATAATATTGATAAAAGATTTACCTGAGGGCACGTCAGCCGTCAGCACCAATTGAGCCACGTAGACGCCTCTGGCTAATAAAGTTTGACATCGCCTCCGTTGTTAAAACCTTACACGATAAAAAAGGAAAAGCAGCTGTTTCTAAAAGATTACATTTTAGGCAAAGACAATATTCCCCTCTGCGACTTGAGAAAATACTTGAATGAAACCAAAAGATTGTTCGATATTTTAAGGATCTAGCTCTAAAATAAAGCGCTCATCCACTCACATTTTGAAAAGAATATCGAAGACAGCACAAAATCTGAAGACCAACTACTCGTAAAGAGAATCGAAAAACATTTTCAGTTTCCACTTTAACAGCGGACTTTACGGAGAACATCGCGTAAAGTTAATTTTGTCGGGAGAGATCCGGCAATAACCGGGAAATGTGAGCTTTATCCAAAGTTTTTTTAATTTCAATGGTTTTCTTAAGCAACGTAAAATTTTGTGATCAAGTGGGTATTTTCTTATTGTTTGTATTTTCTATAAAGAACATAAGCATTGTCGTAGTTTTATAATATTTTTATTCAACAAACTGCGAGCACGTTTATAAAGTACGATAAAACTAAAATCATAAAAATGTCAAAGACAAAAAAAGCAGTTTAAATGCATCTTCATGAAACTTCACAAATGTTAGGCAGCAATAGAATAGGATCAAAATAGTGCATAATAATATTCTAAACTATGTCCGGTATTCACAAATGAACGAGTACGAAGTCGCTGGCGACCGCTATCAACGCACAGCCCAAATCACTGGACGGATCGGGCTGAAATTTGGCATGCAGGTAGATGTTATGACGTAGGCAGCCGCTAAGAAAGGATTTTTCGAAACTCCACCCCTAAGGGGGTAAAACGGGATCCACGCGTACGAAGTCGCGGGCGGCCGCTAGTAAATGAATAAACGAGTGCCTCTAGTTACTCTAACGTCGATTATTAACTCGAATTATTTCAGCTTTTCATTTACACGGTAGAAAATTACCATCCATAGCATCTCACGCTACGCTTCCCTATGCCTTTAACTTTAATAAATAAACAATGTTCTCTCTAAAGAACAAATTGAACTTTGATCATCAGTGTTACGGTGCCTCTAAAGTGTTCCCCCACCAATTTGCACTCCAGGGAAATCTATCCTCTCCTCGTGTTTTGAAGGATGCGCCAATTGCCGCCATTGTGTACTAAATATAGAACGGCGAGTCAGGACAAGGTCAGCATTGCAGATTAATCAATTAGACGAAAGGGAAGGTCTGATATGCACGATGTAGTCGCTTTGAGTGTGTCGGGTTATGTACGAATATGATTTCTGATTTGATGAGGTTATCTGACAAAAACTTTACGCCAAAGCAAAGGTACAAAACAAGGGAAATCTGAATT